GGGGAGGAGGGAGGAGGGGATGGGTATTTGTATACACAAGGAGTGCAATGCGCACCACCCGAAGGATGGACATATTTGAAACACGGACTTGGGGGGGGACCAAGGGCAACATATGTAACCTAAACATCTGTACCCCCATAATATGCTGAAATAAAAGAAAAAGAAAAAAAAAATAAATAGGCACTTTTGTGAGTAGACAAGATACTCATACCCACTTAGTTTCTTGGCAGAGGTGAGAATAACAATTGAATTCCCTCAAGATTTTTGGGCATAATTCTGGTTATAATGGATTCATAACTTTGTGCCTGTCAATGTTTAAAGGGTTTCAAAATGGACTCAGTGAAGCTCAAAGATTTATTTCTACTTGATTATATAATATTTTAAGTGATCTTATCAGGTTTCAATTTTTAAACTAATTTTCCCCTTTTAGGGCAGAACCATATACTTTTCCTCCTACTTCTATTAAGTTCCCACCCATCCCTTCAAAGTCTACTGTGGGCACTCAGACTGATTACCGGGATGCTGACGTTCAAACAGATCCATACTCTCCGGAATATTTAATATGTCAGGATTCTATCCCTGAGCTCTTGACACTGGCTGCTCTTACCTGGGGTGAGTTGGCAATTCTCTTGAATCAGTGATAACCATGCATGCTGTTGAAGCGACCCACAGACAGGCAACTGTGGGTTACAGTGTTGCTGTTTAAAGTGTCTGGCTCAGTACAACAACTTCATAGACTCATGTTCAAACAGAGATATTTCCTTTTTATTGTAAGATTTACTGTGCTCTATCCCTGAAGCTGAAGTTACATTAATATTTCAGCTCAATATTATGCTTGTTTTGCTGACTGCTCACCTCTCTCCTCTCGTTACTACTAGTGAATCAACTCCTTTTCATTGATCAGTCATACTTCTTTATACATAAACATTTTTAAGTGTGTAATACTGAACGCACATTCCTATGTATATAATAATGTTATCTCAGTTTGCCAAAATATCTTACAATTTATCAAAGCTCCCTTACATTTTTATTGGATGATTTCTTTTGATATTATCTCTGAAGTGCTAGATATCTTTCAGGCTTAGAAATTCACTCTTAGAATTTAATAAAATCTGGTGTAGGCCTATATTATATGAAACTATAAAAATCAATAAGAGATGGAGCCTTTGGAAATTATTAGAAATTAGCTTATCTAACTCACTTGATTGTAGCTGGGAAAACTGAGTACCATAGAGGTTAACTAACTCCTAAAAGGTCATGGAGATAGTTGGTACACTGTAATGATTTTTATTAAAATGAGATTGCTTTCCCCCACATTGTAATGAATAGCTGCGATCAAGTCTGTATCCTAGGCAATGCAGATGTTCGTATCTGAGCTCTAGTTTTGATTCCTGTTTCCTGTCTCACTTTATGAATCCTGATTAAGCATTCTCAACACCCACACTTTAAAACAGGGGCTCTACTTTCAGGTTTAGGTAACAAATTAAAAATATGAAATTTTCCCCTTAGTGCTCTGAATACATAAAAAATATAGAAAAAATTAATAAACTTGTAGCTACATTTTAAAACCAAGAAAGAAAATATTCATAATGTAGAAACTGAGACTTTTTCCTAAAAGAAAGAAATGGCTGGGAACATGTGGTGAGCAGGGCCTGTGAATGGCAGGGAGCCAGATCCAGCCTACCAAGGGGCCAGAGCCTTTCTCCTGCGCATAGATGGGGCTGAAGCCTGGTGCCTGCCAGTTTAAGATTATAGCCAGAGCTGACTCAGGCGCTCCCACCTGAGGCCTTGGACTTTACCTCTTGGTATGAGTTAGCATTAAGTGGCAGAAGGACCAGAGATTCACTCTGGGCTCAGAAATATTTCACTAGGCAGAACCCTTATCTGGTGCCCTGCCCTAGGCAGAAATGAGGTTAAAGTGTCAGTAAAAGCACCTTTGAGTCGGGCCCACTCCTACCATTTGTGGGGCCCTGGGGCTCAAAGGGAGTTCCACATACCATGCGTATAGATGTTTTAAAATTATATTAAATAAATCAGGCCAGGCGTGGTGGCTTATGCCTATAATCCTAGCACTCTGGGAGGCTGAGGTAGGAGGATTGCTTGAGACCAGAAGTTTGAGACCAGCCTGAGCAAGAGCAAGACCCTGTCTCTACAAAATATAGAAAAATTAGCCAGGTGTGGTAGGGTGCATGCCTGTAGTCCCAGCTACTTGGGAGGCTGAGGCAGGAGGATCGCTTGAGCCCAGGAGTTTGAGGTTGCAGTTAGCTATGATGATGTCACTGCACTCTAGCCCAGGTGACAGAGTGAGACTCTGTCTCAATAAATAAATAAATAAATAAATAAAATAATAAATCAAGCTAGTATCTGTTAAGTAAAATATGTGCTTTTTTCTTACAAGTATATCTTTATAACAAACTAAAAAGACAAGTTTAAATTTCAAACTCTTAGTCTCCTTGGGATTCTGTGCTCGAATATGGCAGCAAGGCAAGAGCCTACCAGTGGACTGCCCTTTTCTCTTCCCACCCTGGCTCCGTTGTACATTGTGAGGGGCCTGTTATGCATGCATACGATCACTCTAGCTCTTTTATCCAATCTCTGTTCACACATCCCTACAAACAGCTGTCATTTGGCCATACCTTGGACTCAAGGGTGAACAAACAGCAGCATATAGTGTGCCCTCAGGAATCTGAATCCTGAGAAGAGGCCCATGTAGACTTTGGAAGCAGGCTTGGGGCCATTTGTGCAAGGATTTTCAGGTCTCTAAGGGTGGAAGTAGCTTCAGGTGGGCATGGTCCCTTGGACTCCTCACTCTATGGTAATGGACAGGGCCCTGAAGAATTGAGGTCGGGAGAGAGCCCGGCTTGCCTTGTCAAAGGGTGCTACTGAACAGGCAGGGTCTATGAGAGAAATCTGCAGTTGATCTCAACCCAAGAACCACAAAGCACCCTAGGAGCAAGGACACCAGGAATAACCCACAAAAAATAAAGGAAATGGAAGAATAAGTTTCAGAGTAAATGAAGCACAGTAAATGGAGCAATCCGAAAAGGACTTAGGAAGTACTTTTTGTATTCTGAAAGAGATAAGGGAGAAATAGCAACGCTGAAAACATGAATGGGAGCCATGAAAAAGAACCAGTTGGAATCATTGGGAAGGAAAACTATAAAGTTTGAAATAAAATGAATTCAATAGTAGAGTAGATAGAGCTGAAGAGCAAAGTAGTGAAATAACAGATTAAATGGAGACATATTCCAGATACAAAAGGATACCCAAACTGTGATTCTATTTACATAAAATTCAAAAGCAATCAAAACTAAATTAATATTTTAGGAATGGGGATGGTGACTAACCCTGGGGGCAGGTAGTGACTGGGAAGGGAGTATGATGGGCAGTTTAGGGTAGGGTCCTGGTAATAGTCCATTCCTTGATCTGGGTGCTGATTATATGGGATCTTCATTTTTGTACCTTTCTCCATGTGTGTTATACATTAATAAAAAGTTTACATAAAGATAAGTGAAAAATAATGACTGGCTGATACTGTAAAAAAGGCTGATACTGTAAGCACTAATGAAAAAGAATGAGTACATACGACATGCCAAGAACTGTTCCCAGTTCTTTACATTTTTAACATACTCAACCGTCACAAGTTCAGTCAGTGATAAAGTTGAAATCAGAAATTAATAATATAGATCTTTAAAAAGGCAAAAGAAATGGTCATTATGGCCATGATTTTTTGATAAAGATTAATAATATAGCTAAGCCTCTTGTAGGAAGCATCAAGAAAAAAGACAGAAGATGCAAATAAAGAGTACTGGCCTTGAAAGGGGGACATAACTGGAGAGTAAACAATTTAATAATTATAAGAGAATACTAGGAATATCTTTTGCCCTATATTTAAAA